GCGCGGGGGCGACCGCGGGGTGAAGCGAGGGTGATGAAGTCGGGTTTGGGAGTAGATCTCTGTGGGGAGTAGAAATCATCGAGAAGGATGGACTTCTCGAAGGGTGCAGCGCGGGGGGAAGTGACAGTACTTTCGTTTGGCAGGGGGTGGCAGGGGTGTGGGAACTGTCGTTGTGTGTTACTGCGGGAGGCTGGTGGGAGAGTTGCACGCGGGGGGTGGGGTGACGCGGGGGTGGGGTGACGCGGGGAGCTGGAAAGGAAGTAAGGCATCGTGTGGGTAGTCGAGGCGGTAAGTTTCGAGGCTGGCGGGTAGATTGCCTCGAGTTAGAATGCTCGGGGTGCGTATGTTGGGGCCGGTAACTCGGGGGTGACGCAGCGAGGGAACTTGCTCGCAGCCAAGAAAATCTTAGAAAATCCAAGGCGTAGAGATGCATCAAAATTTTTCAGGGTAGCAAAGGATTAAAGGGGGTATGGAGTCACATCGAAGGAGAGAGATAAAGTCACGTTCTATGCAATGTTAAAAGCGTACACTGCCTCTCGAGCGTGACAAAAATTCAAAGTCGATTTAGGGAAACCTACATATTTCGGCAGAGCGGGATCCAAGCGACAAAATTCAGACAATGAATTCACGAAAACAGACGTGGTAATATTTACTTCGAGGATCGCACACATTAAGGCTGAACAGTTTTTGCTGTGACAATCTTCATTCCCTTTCTCAAGAGCCATAATGAATGTTTTAATTGCATGAATAAATAGTTGTTGCTAGATAAATAATTAAATTTAGTTGATTACGTATGTCTTCGTTTGTAGTTAAGTAATTATATGTTTTATTATTAGTTATGTTATTATCATTATTATTGTTAGTATTATCATTTCTATTATTATTATTATTGTCATTATTATCATTATGTTATATTATTTATTATTATTATTATTAGTTATTATATATTATTTTATTATTATAATGTGCAGTGCAGTGCGTGAAGTGCATTGACTTGTGCAAGTAGACAAAAAAGGAAGTGAGTAGAAACAATTACACTCCATTATCGCAGTGCCGTGATGTCGGTGAAGTGATGTTTGGTGGGTTTTATTGAAGATTGCAACTGTGAATGTTCCATGATTTGTAAGGTTTTAGAGTTTGTATAGT